GATCATCATCGTCTAGACTACAAAGACACAGGATCACTTCTCTTGTGTGCATTGCACCCCTTCACAGCGAACGCAACCAGATTTCAAGCACACCATTCGACAAGCTTGTTGTCGTGTACTACCCCTAGCATAGCACTCAGACACATCATAAGGTTAATAACTTCAATGCCGCCATGGACACATCATAAGGTTAATAACTTCAATGCCGCCATGGTTCACATTACGTACTACCGGACTGCCACTGGATAGCAACAGATCCTTGGACAGGCAATGTCATTGGCTGTATACATGTCCAGGTAACATGTTCCACGCAGTGGAGCAAATGCAGCAACTGTGAAAACAGAACAAAAGCACCATATCAGTTACGCACAAGTGGCTAGAGAGAACAAGGGGAGACATTACCGCAAACAAGACCTTTTCCAACCGATTATCCCAGAGCTGGCCTCCCTCACAATACAGTTTTGCATGCCTACTTCGCGACTTCGAGATACATAGGACCTGCCAAAGACCAGCACTTCCCAGCTTTACCTCCCCGGCTGATACATATCAATCCATAGAAACGCACCTGCATGAAGTCATTGGCAAGCCATGCCATCTCCTCCAACACAAAGTCCCAGTGTCCTTTCCTGTGGCATGGCTCTGGGGCTGCATTCCTCAATGCCCAGTCTGTGTTGTGACTCTGTGCTGCCTGCTCTTTAACGAGAAAAAGAGGAAACAACAGCAGAAGCAGAACAACAAGACCATAAAAAATTACATAAAACATCCCAAAAACGTGAACAGCAAGGTAGCCATTTTTGCACCTGCTGAACTTAAGCCGTACCAGTATTTGGCATTGCCCAATTGCCCGCACATAGATAAGACAACAGACAAGTAAATGCCACACAGTATTTTTGACTGGTGATATATTATATGGGTCCGAAAGACCCTTAATGAAGCCCTCCGCTGTCATCTGAAGTCAGTCACTCCAGAGTTGGTGTGAATCAAAAGCTTGGGCATCAGATTTAGCATCACCAGGTTTTCTTTCCCTTAACAGCTTTCACAGCCATGATGGTCCCTTATATACGAGCTGAGAGAACCGAGTTCATCCTTATGCTCAATACAACCAAGTTGAGCCAACGGATGAAAAACGAGGAGTCAAAGATGGGAAACAAGTTCAAAGTTCAGACTAGAATGTTCAAATTTCAAACAAAAAAAAAGCTGCACTGTTACATGAAGCCAGTCACCCGAAGTTGGTGCCAATCAACGACCTGCATCAAATTTAGCATTGCGTGTTCCCTTTCCTTTCACAGCTGTGACAACTATGATTGTTCCACAGAAATGAGTTGGCAGAGATGATTTCAATTAAAGAATCCATCCATGCGGCCATCACAACCACGAGGAACCAACCCATGAAAAGAGACGGAAGAAAGACGTGAAGCAAATCGAAACTTCAAAAGAAGAGTTACACAAGTGCTTACATATCACCGACTCCAGAGGGTCCACCTTTCCCAATGTATGCTTATTCATTCGACAGGACAGCAGAGCTCACATGAGTCTTCCACTGAGTGATCCTGCCAGTGTAGCACACCCATTCCTTACCTTGTATGTTTCCGCAAGCTCCAGCATAACGTCTTCATGTGCACGTCTGGCATTTGCAGCCAATTGAGCCTTCTCCGCCTTCTTCCTTTCTGCAGCTGCTGATACAGCAGCATTCATGTCCTTCATCCAAGGCCTCGCCTGCCCTTGTGTCCTGACACCCACCAGCCCACGCTGTGATCTCTCACTCCCTGCCCCACCAGCAACATTTCTGTCGCCCACTGACTGTCTTCCACGGATTGGTGTTGAAATGGATCCTTTTGGACTAACACCTACATTTCTTCCACTCTCGGCCCGGGATGCACACCCTTCATGCCCCATGACTGCACCACTCGTTGGACTTCTATCAGCAACCCCGGCACCATCTTCCATCTGCGCAGTCCCCTCCGCTACCGTGGCTTCCTCGTATGTAGCTATCCTTGGGCTCTCTGATTTCTTTAACCCACTGACAAACCTCACGCCAGGTTGATCTTCACTCCTGCTAACGTCAGTCACACAGTGAGCAGGTGATGTGGTTCCTGATGGAGAGGTAAGGTCATCTCCCCATCCTGCTTCGACCATACCCCTTCTCTCTCGTACGGTCTCTGCTGCATCCATTGCTTCGTTTGGTTCAGTGCCACCATAACTCACTGCCCCATTTGCATTCAGTGAATGATACTTCAACCCGGAGTGAGTTAGCATGGTCTGAGAGTGCAAGCCACTGGGTTTGGTCAGTACTCCATAGTTTGAGTGCCGCAACAGGCTGCCACTCTCTCCGCCACATGCATCCTGAACTAGATTTTTCGTATAGCCAACCCTCCCTTCATGCACTGAATCCCTTAAACCTACACCGGAAACTGCAGCGGCAGTCCTATTCATGATCCTGTCGACGCCATCCCCTCTAATGAACCGATCCCTCTGTCGGAGGTCTCCAACCACTGAAAGAGATTCTCCCATTCCGCTGACACAACTGCCTAGTGTTCCTCCCTCTCTCATCTCCACACTACTGTCAACACATCTCCCTATCATCCCTCTACCTCCACTGCACAGAGGTTCCTCCCTGGTATTGCAAATCAGTGTATACCCATCATCCCCTAACCGTGCATCATTACGCTTATGAACAGTCCCCCTCACCAATGAGCTCCCCGCTAAGCTATCGATATCAGAAGTAATCCCTCTCCCAGCAGCAACTTTTGTGTTACCATCATCTGTGTTACACCCCTGAAACAACATGTCCCCATTCCGTACAGGGGGCAATCCTGTTAGTGGATGCATGTTCGCCGAGCGCTCCCCATCATCCATGTTCTTCTTTCCAAAGAACCCAACAACGTGCATGGATGACCCATTCCGCCCACCCCCAACATGAGACTTGACATCAACCACTCTGGTTTCAATCTCCATTGATGGGGCAAACAAACCACCATGATGAGCTGGGTGGTTGTTCACAACAAGGCCACCTCCCGCCTCCACAGCTCCATCGGCCCGCGAACTATCTGACTTCCTGATTTGCATTGATGAACTCCCTTTTAGCAACCAAGCCGCATCCACCCCTTCCCCAGCATCAACACATGCATCCGTAACAGCTAGGTCCACCACAGAGGAAACAGCCTGAGCAATTGTCTCCTCCCTGTCATCTGGCAAACAGCCACCAGTTCTACCATCTTCAAGTACTGTACATGTGCTTCGAGCGGTTGGTCCATGAGACACACTACCATGGTTCTCACCTTCCTGAATGGCAATCTCCTTACCTATCCTTCCATTTGACCCTATATGCTCTGATGACAGATCACAATCTTGAGAACAACTTGACTTGGCGCATCTTGTATCAGAGCTGCTTCCAGCAGTCCCCTCTGCCTTCAATGTTAGAACATCACCATGTTCTTCCTCAAGCACCACCGATCCACCTCTATCCGCAACGACTTCTGGGTAGATCGCACCTTCTCCGTCACTGAACCAAGCCGACGACAACAGCACCCAGAGTCAGAAAACCCTCTCTCTCTCTCTCTCTCTCTCTCTCTCTCTCTCTCTCTCTCTCTCACACACACACACACACAAAAAAAAAAAAAAAAAAA